AAAAAAAAAAAAAAAAAAATCAAGCAGTGTCAGTGTAGGTTAATTTTGTCCTTAGATGTAAGAATTGAATAAGATGCACAAGAAATGACTGATAACTTAGGAATTCAAATTTCTTAGTAACTGCACTTTTTATTATTGTGTATTATTATTTTTAAGTATGATCTAGGATGATACTTGTTGCTATAACAAACAGGCCCAAAATGGTTAATGGCTCGAGCACAATAAAAGTTCACTTGTCACGCAACACCAAGTCCAAACTGGGTATTTTCACGATGGCCACAAATATTGATGCGGGGACCCTGGTTCCTTCTACTCAGTTGCTCCGCCTCCATCAAGCTTGTGCAAGGGGAAAGAGCCCCAGTGAGTACTTGGGAGTGGTGCCCCAAAGCCTGACAAGGGACACAAAGTCGAGTTCTGTGACCCAACAGAGGAACCGGGTTTGGTAAAGAACAGTCAGTCATTGTCCCTAACTTAGAGATAGGGAAGGAGAAAAAACAAGTCAGTGAAGAAACTGGAAAGTGATCTGATCCCAGTTTGAACGGTCCCTTCCCTCCCATTATCATAGTTGACCCTCGTAGTCACCCTGCGAGGCTACTATTATTATTGTCCCCATTTTATGCTCTAAAAATCCAGGATCAGAGAGTCTAACCCAAGGCCAGAGTTCTCCAGCCAGCAGACCATGCGCCTCTGACAGATCTGTTTATGCAAATCCAGGCCAAGTTGCCCCCAGACCACTGAAGTCGATTTGACAGTTATCACCAAATAGGTATTTTTGCATCCACTGCAGGGCCCTCCAGAGAACTCCAGTTCAACCTGCACACAGTCTCCCACACCCTCATTCCTGTCTTGTTTGTTTTCCAGAGACCACTCCTCACTCTGCCAGCCAAAGCCAGGCCCTGGACAAGAAGGCGCAGGGCTCAGGGACCTCTAGTTCTGCCAGTGGGACTGCGCTGCCTGCCTCCCAGCACCTCCCGGTGTCTCGGTCCCCTGGAGTCAGACCAGGTTCTGACCTCCCGCGATCCCAGCCTCATTCTTCCAGGTCAGCCTCTGGCAAGAGTGCTCAGAGACCTCCCCACTGACGGCTGGGGTTCACAGGAGTCTGGGTCCTGGGACTGATCTTCAGAGCCCAAGAGAGGCGTTCTCTCTTCTTCTTTCCTCTCCTCACATGGGAACTTTGATTACTCAGCTTCAGACCCTTGTCAGCTACTGAGGAGGAAAACAGTGGCTTCACCTGTTCTTGAGGGAGCTGGAGCCTTCCCTCCACTATCTGCCTTCCCAATATCTTGGTTCAGATAGCTCTAGACGTCACATTCACATGGCATTCCCTTGGCTCTAGACTTTGGGAGGAGGGGCCAGGGCCATGACCGCCTAGTAGACTTTTCCCATAAGGCAAATATGGGGACACAGGTTTCTGCCAGCTCCACTCAGTGGGAGGAGGACACAGAGCGACCTACATTTCTGACCATCGCCTCTATCCAAAGGAGGTGAGGTGGTTTGAATAAAAAGCTTAAGAAGCAAGCGAAAATAAAGGTAAATGAACCAGTCCAGACATGGTGAGTAGGAAGACTGATGATACCCCAGTGCCCTCCTGAGGGAAGCTAATGCCGGTAAGGACAAAAAATGGGTGGGAGTCTCCTAGCCACAAGGCAAAGAAGCCAGTGAGTAGCATAGCTCTTCTTATCTAATTGAAGGAAACAAGATTGTTCAGGGCAGAAAACTCTTTTTCTTGCACCAAATTCTAAAAGGAATTTGATAACCTGCTTGTGTATAAGGTTTCTCAAAATATGGTTTTTTTGAAGAGTTTGTTGTTGTTGTTGTTGTTATTTTGTTGTTGTTGTTTTGAACTGGGTTCTTACTCTGTTGTCCAGGTTGGAGTGCAGTGGCATGATCCCAGCTCACTGCAGCCTTGACTTTCTGCCTCAGCACCCTGAATAGCTGGGACTACAAGCACATGCCACCACATTCAGCTAAGTTTTAAATTTTTTTGTAGAGACAAGGTCTCACTGTGTTGCCCAGGCTAGTCTCAAAATCCTTGGCTCAAGCAATCCTCTCACTTCGGCCTCCCAAAATGCTGAAATTACAGGCATGAGCCACTATCCCTGGCCTCTTTGAAGAGTTTTGCAAAAGGTACAATGCAGGTCTTGTCTCTGGTGATTCTATGTCTACTTTGTGTCATATTCTATGCAGAATGTCTCCAAGGAGCCATAAACCAAGCAGTCCAGACCATTAAGAAGGCTTTGCTGGCAAGGGCAGAGGCTTGGCAGAATGGGAGTTGCAACCCCGGACACTTCAACATCCCCAGGCATCTTGTAGACAGCCAGGATCAGGGGACTATCTCACCTCACGTGTCCAAGTGCCCTAAGAGAGTCTTCTACCTCAGCCAGTCTCCCCTACTGTTACTGCCACCACCCAACCAGATTCCTGGGGTTCTCAGGAGAATCCTCCACATCCTAGAAGTCAGGCAAAGTCCTGGTGGAGAGATGGAGATTTGACAGTGATTTCATAGTCTACAAAATTAAAATAATTTCCAACTTCCCTCCCAATTCCTTCCCCTTCCCAACCCAGCATCAAAACTTCACATGTATGCAACCTGGACTGAAGTAGGGTGGGGACATACAACCAGGAGGAGTAGGATAATTTGTTTCATCCAGTCTGTCTGCAGGAAAGGCTAAAGAATGTTACAACACCTCCTCTCTGTGGAACCCAGGTCCAAACCCCAAATTCAAAACTGCCTGTATGTCATATACCTTCCCCTGGAAGGAATCCTGGTCCAGGCTTACCTATCTGAGTTCTTAATACAGAAATCCCGGTAATTTAACCCAACCAATAACAACTGGAAGGCCCAAAGATAGCTGCCACACCAGTGCCCAGCCCTCAGCGTCATCCTTCCTGGGGATAAAGCCAGCCCCTGGGGAAAGGAACATGAGTAGGGAGCTCTGCCTGAGCCATCAGCCCCCTAGTGATTGTTGTCAGACCTCTGACAATAATCATACGTCCAAACACCCACCACAAACAAATCATTCTATTGGGACGAGGCAGAATTTCATATGAGGGATGTATTTGTTCTCCATTGCTGCTCAACAGATTATCTCTAAAGCTTAACGGCTTAAAACAATAAACATTGATTATTATTATATAGTTTCGGTGGGTCAAGAGTGTGGGAGTGGCTTAGTTAGGCAGCTCCAGTTCTGAATATTGTAATCAAATTCTCGGCCAGGGCTACAATCACTGGAAGACTTGACTGGGCTGAAAGATCTGCTCCCAGGATGGCTCACACACATGGCTACTGGCCAGAGGCTGTGGTTCCTTACTGACTGTTGGTTACTCTCCATGTGGGCCTCTTCATAGAGCTGTTTGGATGTTGTTATAACATGGCAGCCGCCGGGCTCGGTGGCTCAGCCTGTAATCCCGCGCCTTTGGGAGGCTGAGGTGAGTGGATTGCCTGAGCCCGTGGGTTCGAGACCCGCCTGGGCAGCGAGACCTCATCTCTACAATAAATCAAAAAATCAGCCGGGCGTGGTAGCGCATGCCTGTAATTCCGGCTACTCGGAAAGATGAGGTGGAAGGATCGCCGGAGCCCAGCAGGTGAGGCTGTAGTGGCCGGGAGCGGCCACTGCACTCCAGTCTGGCCGA